TGAAGCTCATCACGAGTTTGCTACCTTTGATACAACTCTCTAGCACTTCATCTCACGACTGCGGGGGCCTCGGGCTGAGTGCCTGCAAAAAGACCTCACAGGTCGGGTTGACACCAACCCTGGTCGTGCTACTCAGGGGCGGAAATGCTGGAGCCGTTTGGGCGAAGGATCCTGCCCTACCACGCTAACGGGTTCAATCCTACGCTATTCTCGGTTTAGTAGCTGGCAGCTGCCAGGCTTCAGCATTTTGCTCCGGAAGTCATTGTTTAAGGACTGCGCATCGCCCCCAAAATCCGTTTGTCCTTGATCCTCCATCTTGTTATCCAAGCCTTGGGCATATCCATGATGGAGCCTCAATCGTCAAGCTCGAGTTCAAAATCCAAGTCGTCCAGCCCGGACGCATCCGCCGGAGTCATGGCCCCGCTGACGACCGGGTCTCGGGGGAAGAAGAATAGGTACGTCAGCATCGGCGCGCCTCCGATCGTGGCGGCCGCCCCCCAATATTGGAACTCCATCTGACGAAGCTGCAGATTGCCGGGCATGTCGTCTCAAATGGTCACTTTCTCCCTACATAAACGCTCACAGACTAAGAGATCTTGTTCGAAGAAAGTGAGAACGGGTTGCATCACATGCAAGTAAGCATTGACCCCAAGTCCTAGTCATATCCCCTGATGGGCTGACGATTGATGCAAGACGGCGGCACATCAAATGCGACGAGACCAGGCCATTTTGCCTGAAGTGCACCAAGTCACCCCGCGGGCCAGGGGTATGCGAAGGGTACCCTCCCGACCGCAATAGCAAACCTGGGCACCGCCAAATCCAAGCTGCGCCGCGCAGGATCGTGGCAAAGGGGACATGGAGAATCCAGAACATTCTCGTCGAACCAGGGTATGACTCTGTCTTCTTCACAGACCCGGAAGAGAGAGGCTACTTCGACTTTTGGCGCATCCTCGTCGGCAACATCTACCTCTTCCCCAACGATGTCATGTCCCGCATCCTCCCGCAGCTTGCCCGACATGAGCCCGCCATCAAACACGCAGCCCTCGCCATGGCCGCGATGGCCCGCGCCCTGGTACCGAATCTCAAGCGTCGAACTCGAAGGGAACTGCACAGCAATGGGCCGCACTATGAGTTCGCATTGAAGCATTACGGTCGTGCCATCAAACTTGTACGCACGTCCGCGCCGTCGACTGATAATATGCTCTGGGCTATCGTCTGCTGCGTCCTCTTTGTCACCTTCGAGTGCCTCCACGGTGACCGCAATGCGGCGTTGCAGCATGTTATGCACGCATATAAGATGATGGAGCACTACTTCATTCAGCGGTCCATGGTCGAGGACGCTCGGGAAACAGACTCCATCCGCTCCGTTTGTGACGATGCTGCGTGGATCTTCCAAGGCATGACGATGCAGTCTTGGTCGCACAACGTGCTTCACTCAAAGAACTCAGGCGACATAAGCTGGTGCTGCCGTGGAAGCACACGACCCTTCGCAGTTGAAGAGATGCCTTCGACATTCGCTGGCCTACATATTGCACGGAGATGGTGGAGAGTGGTCCAGCACTACATCTGCCACCGCTGTCCGATCTATACCGACATGTATGCGGACGACATGCCGCAAGAGGTCATTGCGGGAGGGTACATAAGAAACACATATGAACTCAAGGATGCTGAGGATCTCAGGAGAGTACTACCTCAGTTTCTTGCCCATCTTCAACGCTGGCATGACAGCTTTCAGGGTATCTTTGACCATGCCAGGATCGGACAAGATCGTGACTTCAGTTCATACGTCGACGCATGCAACCTGCGTGTGCAGTATCTTCTGCTATGGACCGATGTCGTGAGCATCAGTTACAGAGATGTCAGGACAGTCAAGAGTCTCACGCCAGCGTTCCGCGAGATAGTGGATCTGTCACGGATCGTCATCCAAACACAGTCCAACTGCGGTGGCTGTTCTGAGGTATTCAGCATGGACAACGGACCTACTATGCCACTGCTGGTCGTTGCATGTCGATGTCGCGACGCTGAAGTCAGAGATGAAGCGACGGAGTTGTTGGGAAAGCATCCCAGGCGTGATGGCTTATGGGATAGCAGAACGTTTCACACAATTGCTATTAGAAACAAGGCCATCGAGTCTGACAACATCGCCTTTGAGGATGATGAATTCGAGGAGTGGTCTCGACTTTCACGGAGGGAAGTTCACTTCGATGCCAACGGGGACGTCCAGGCAAAAATTGTCAAATGGCATCCCGAAGTTGGGGAGTGGCGTGTAGTGGAGGAGCAACTCGGTAAGCCATCTCATAAGGTGCCTCCAGGCTACAGAGAGCTTCCACGGAGGCAGCAGTCGATCAAGATTGTCCCTGGATACCATTAGACAGTGAAACACAGTGGCTTATGGAAGCCAGTCTTCTGATGTCTCTCTTCCAACGTGGAGAACCATCTGCTGAGATGGTTTTCCGCCCGTCAAGTCCCAGAATCCCTAAAAGATGAGTTTGAGTTTCCCGTTACTGGGCTAGGTTCAAAGAGCGAGCAATTACCAATCTAATTCAATTCAAGCTCTTTTCGTGCTATGTCTGTGAAAGAACCAACTACGAACTGGCAAGAACGACCTAATACAGGTTCATAATCTCAAAATCGTCTAAACTTCTAGCAACCTCTATTTATCACCTCCCTATTATTTAACCATTGACATCAGTATCAACAATCCAGCGTCTTCGGGTGGTTGGATGATCCAGCTTTGGTTTCGGCCCATAAGCTTTTGTAACTCAGGAGTCAGCACCATCTGATGGATACATGATTGGAAGTAGGTCTTTTAGAGATAAAAGCCCGGCTTCGCGTTGGAAGATTTATTACTCTATTTGAAAAGTTCAACCAAATATTACCCTATTTCGAAACTATCTTTGGAGAAAAATTGTGGAAGGACTTCGTCGCTCCGGTCCACCAAACCAAAAAGCTGTCTACATTGTATTTAACCCAGCCGGATATTGCAGCCAGTCCTATGTTCGAGAAACAATTACAAGAGTTGTTTGGTGATCTGACTTTGGTCCCGACACTTCAAAAGGAATATAAGCTAAGCGTGCCAGGCCGTTTGGATGGTGCTGTTGAGGTCGTGCGCAGCCCTAGTGTTAGGCGATATGCCATATTTGAACAGCCTGAGGAGACTTTCGTAGGTCCGGTCTACGAAATGTTTCCTTGCGTCATCGTACTTAGGCTCTCAAATTGAAGAAGTCCGAAATCGAGTCTAAGTGAATGTCGAGCACAAAATTTCTATAATACATTTGCCCACGTTTACTAGCAAATGTTTTGGCGAGATCTTCTTCAGCTGCAAGACGAGGTCCGCCTCTGAGGCCCAATCGTGTCAGAAGCAGAGTATCTTCTACGACTACCCTAACCTCCAGTTTCTTGGTCGACGTCAATCCTCCAAGTAGCTGAAGCAGTTTGACTGTGACATCTCGGTACTCGTCAACAACCTTCTGCAATTCGCCTCGAGTTCCATCTTCGGATGATACAGAAGGCCACTGATGAACATTGCTAAGATTCTGATCGAGCAGCCTGACCCGACGCTCCAAGGCAGCGTTATCCCTCGTGGCTGCAACGCCCGATCGCGAAACTTGTCCCACAGCGGCGACATGCTCGGCTGCAAAGCCGATGAATGTAATGGCAGCACTGACTAGGCCGATAATTTCCACGGGGGTCATTGTGTCAAGGTGGGCGTTCGCACCTCCGGCCGATAGGTTCTGCTGGATGACGTTGAACGGCCTGGCTGATCCCAAGTCAGTGAAGCAGAACTTCGCTGTTCTAGCTGTAATGTTTATCCACCTGCGCAAATATCAGCCAACTTTCTGGTGGAAGAGTCTACTCAGAACGACTTCCCGTTCGCACCTTGATTCTTATTTCATGGGCAAGCAATGAGTCATTCGCGTCCATATGGAACGGCATAATGAATGTGCTTGTCGATGAGCAGCTGCCCGGAACCGCGAAGCTGAATCAATTTGGGAGCCTGACGTGGACGGTGTGATCATACCTGCATTATCTGTAGTGGGGTTGGTCCAATGATAAGCAAGGTGAGCCATTGTAGGAGATGCAAGTAAGCAAAGAATACGATAGATGCTACTAGTCACAGCCAAAATGAAACGCAGCCAAGTTTTCCAACGGGAATCTGCCAGGGGTGTGGGGCTAAGATATGGGATTCCAATTCATATGTTGGCAGCAGACACTGGACGTCCATGCCCAACGCCTGCCCAGCTGTTTCCAAGGGGCTTTCGCAACACTGTATTAGCATCTGCTCAATCTGATTGGCAGAAGAGACGAAACCTTCTCCATTCATGCCTATACGCGAGAACCACAGCGTGGCGGATTCCCCTGGAGCTGATCATGTCAGACGCAGACAGATTGTCTGGTATCACCAAACTGTGGCCAAATGGAATGACGTCCATCTGGAAAGACAATCTCGGTGAACAAATCTTCGATATAGACAGCATGGCAGGGCATCCCTAAAGTACCACTTCGGTTCTTGGCTCGGTTTCATTCGTAAAACAGGAATATGCAAGACCACCCACCATATTTCGTTCTACTTCGTTGGTTGGAGCTTGGGCATTGAATGTTGGAAGGCCCAAGGCGAACTTGCCAAATCACATGGACAGCTGCATATCGCACCTCCTGCATGGTGCATATGAGGCGAACAGCAGTATATCTTGACAGCCAACCAGCGTTCCTAAGGTATCCAACCCCTCTCTCCACACCCACCCTCACGACGACGTACGGGCGTAGGTTATGCAGTCAGACGATGTCCAGAAAGTCCTGAACTTTGCTCAATAGGACCAGATTTTCCAAACCTACTACGTAGCAATCTGTGGCTAGCCGACTATTGAAATTCTGTTGCTCCTCCCACTTGATGCAAAGCTTTGATTTTGAATTCTACCAACCACTAAATTTTCCTCAACCACTGCTTAACTATTGAGTCGACATTGAACATCACTAAAGACGAGTTGTTCATGACGGCAATGGCAGACAAACCGTCACCTCAGCTTTCCTGCCTACGCAAGCTATCAGAACCCTACGCAGGTGTTCTTGATGCTTTAGACAGCCTCAAAGACGTGGGATTCGAAAGAAAGCTGGTGCCCAAGCTTGTTGTTATCGGTGATCAAAACAGTGGTAAGAGCTCTGTGCTCGAAGCCATCTGTCAGATTCCGTTTCCCGTCAACACACGCCTGTGTACCAGATTTCCGACTGAAGTGGTTCAGCGGAAAGCTGACAAGGACCTGATCGTCGTCACCATTAGCCCGGCTACCAATAATGCGAATGATGCCTCCATCACAGAGTTTGAACGAAGGCATGAGCTAGTCGACTCTACAGAATCGAGATCTGCCTCAGAGTGGCTCGAATCTGCGATAATGGCTGCCACGAACTTGATTCTTGGAGGCTCGAGCGATTCGACATTTCAGAAGCGTTTCAGTCACGACGTCTTGAGAATCACCGTCATGGGACCGAATAGATCCCCCCTCACTCTTGTTGATTTGCCTGGTCTATGGTCTACATCTTCGAACGCTCAGGACACGAAGGATAGAGGGGTGGTAGATGATATGGTTAGAGCGTACCTAGAAGAGCCAAGAAACGTGTTTTTGTTGGTTATCTCAGCTCGTAGTCATTGGAATAATCTACGAGCACCTCAAGAGGTTGAAGACAAAGGAGATGCATCAGGGCTAAGAACTCTTGGGGTCATTACTGAACTTGACGCTGCGCATGAAGACAGGGACCAAATCATCTCCTTATTCCATGCTAAGGAGAGATGGAACCCTGGCTGTGGTTGGCATGGTCTCCGAAACAGATCCAAAAAGGAGAGGAATGATGGAAAAGATCGCGACGAAATCGAGAGAAAGTTTTTCGGCGAGCATTGGGATCAGATCGACGAATCCCAAAAGGGCATTGCAGCTCTACGACCTAAGCTGACCAGCCTTTTGACGGGCCAGGTCCGGAGACACCTTCACAGTCTGATCGGAGAGGTCAGAGGTCAAATCAAGATTGCCAAAGGTCAAATCGAGACGTTAGAAAAGCGACGGGCATCTGAACACACACAGAGAAACCTACTTTCACGGATGGCTGGGCACTTCCAGCAACTATGCTGCAACGCTGTCAATGGCCAGTACGGTGAGGGCATAGTGCCACCTGGGCTTCAGGCCTTTTTCAACGACTCAACCGACGCGCAGCAGCGTTGCCAAGACAAGCGTCTCCAGGCAGTCGTGCGAGCTCTGGGACAGCTTTTCAATAGAGTCATGATAAAGAATGGGAAGTCGACGCTGATCGTAGGGCTTGACGAAATCCCACTTGGACCTTTCAAGGCTTCCTTTTCGACGAACTTGGCTACCACAGAGACTCTTGCCGGCAATATCTCTGGCAGCAATGTTACAAGGAGTAGTTCGGACGCACCCGAGGATGGAACAAACTCGAACGAAAGGGATCAAGTTGAGCGAGAGGTCAGTGACGACGAGGAACATTACGACTCCGATAATGCGATCGCAGGGTCAAGTCAAGAAGAACCCATGAACCATGTAGATTCGGATGCCAGCAAGAAAAAAGGCGGCTCGGTTCGGCGAAAGATCAACGAGGAAGCTCCATCCACGTCAACCTCGGAGGACATGTCTTCAGACACCGAAAGCATCAAGCGGCGTATTGCAAGGGGAAAAAAAAGAGAGCGCGCCTCGGGTGAAGACGGTGATGGGATGAGTTCTCGTGACGTAAACAGGATGTCGGCCTCCAATGTAGCTGACAGCACCAGCAATGGTAAACATTCGGCAAAAGTGGAGGGAACGCCCACTGCGTCCTTTGGTCATCGTTCGCAACGAGAAACAGACAGGATTTTGCGTGCACACGTTCATGAGATATATGAACCATTTGCTACCCCGCTTCAACAGAGCTTTGCGGATTTTGAACGCAAAGTTCTCTTCATGGCTGCACAATGGAGAGGAATAGAAAGTCTGGACGAAGTCAACGCGGCGATGGTGTCTAAGCTCTTTCGAGAGGAAAGCAAACGCTGGAATCCCATTGCAAATACCCATCTGAATCTTGTATGGGAAGTGGTCTGCCGCTTTGTTCATTTGGCGTTGGAGCACTGCGTCGACCGCGGGTTTCTCCCTGACCTCAAAAATCTCCTCATCTACAAACGTCTCGAACAACTTCACCGTTATGCCGAAGAAAAGCTCGAAGAGTTACTTCGATGTCATGATGGTATGAACCCGGCGATACACGACTTCATCAGTGAGTTGGATGAAGATGCTCTTACCTTCGGAGTTCGGACTAAGACGACAAGAGAAGATATTAGAAAAGAGATGCTTCAGCAGCTTAAATCTGCTCTTTCAGCAAAGGAATGGAGAAAGATCGTGGCAGAAGCATATTATCACTTGCAAATTTTCACGAATGATGACAGTTCACTTACCGACAGGTTGTTTGAGAAGATGAGGGCAACTCTCGAAAAAGTTGCTTTGGAAGATGCTTCGCATGGTGCAGGCGATGCGGAGGCTGGAAACCATCACACATCTGAGCAAGCTGCAGTACGCCGTGCTATATTCACCATGGAGAAGTATTACAAGGTACTCGGATTTTACATGTGCAGTGAAACATTCAATGCTAACATTCGATCAGGCGTCACTGGTTTCCTTCGTATCACATGTTAACGCCATGGTGGTTCACAATGGTCTTCTCGAGAGGCTTCCATATGAGATTTTCACGCCCGATATTGTCTCTTCACAAACGTCGGAGATTGTATCGAAGATTGCTGGAGAAAAGGAAGATGACGCCAAAAGACGTGCGGAATTTGGAGAGAAACTTTCCGCTTTTGAGGATGCGCTGCGTTCTTTCGAAGACTTTCAAATTAGCATAGCTTGATGGATGCCTTGTTGCTGAAGCTGGAAGACGTCAGGACTACGGCAGGGTGCACTTACGCGAGGGGCGGGGCTTCTGTATACGATATTCCACATCGGGCTTTCCAAGGGTCTATTCCATGATTGTGCCGCAACCAAATATTGAATTACACTTACCTTTCCAAGAGAGATATTCAATGTGCTGGCTTCATCGGTCCTATTATTAGATTCTATTGCTTAATAGTCACTTCAAGCGGTGATAATGACTTCCACTTGAAGACAAGATTCAGTTGCAGTGCAGCTTTACTTCAATGCAATTTCAATCTCTTTCCTGTATTAGACGGAAAATAGATGATCTGGATCAAGCCTTCGCGTACCAAATGAGTTTTTGCAACATTGATTCTCACCCCCGCACGTGAATTAAGATATCATATTGATTTCAGGAAGAGTAAATCACCCCAGCAGCCTTCAAATTGAAATCTACTTAGCAGACATTCTTGCTGTTCATGAGAGTTAAGATGTGTCTTGCGAATCAGAACATATCGCCGTAAAGGTAAGTAAGTATTACGTTGGCTGTGTGAGAAGGTGGGCAATCAGTCTATCATTACAAATGGCAATGTTTTCGCATGGCCATTGCTAATGCTAGATGTGTAATGCCCTCGACCAGGAGATTACCGAACCCAGGGTCAATTGCTTCAACTACTCCAAGCTTGCTGGGCTTCACTACCTCTTCGACGGTAGTTACAACTATCTATCAATTGGTGGATCGAAGTCTGCAATTTTGCTGCCCAGATACTGTGTGAATTGATTCACCAAATCGAAATGCGTCACAAGAACCGGTCGAGGTGCCAAAGTTTGGCAGTCTTTCGGATTATAGAAAGAAAAGTCTGGAAGTTTGAGATCAGAAGGCTGCTTGAGGCCGCAATTGATGATGACGGTAAAAGCAAAGAGGGCAAAGAGCGTGTCAAATCGCTCTTTCCAGCCTAGCGGGTCAAACACCAAATGTACCTGGGCAGTCCTCCAGGAGACCACCCTCTCCACCTATACGCGATCCACCCAGGTCAAACTACATGGCAGCTCCGATTCCGCATCAGCTACACCAGGTCATGACTGCTACCTTGTCGACCAAATCACGTCAACCTTGGCAGTCATGACGATTAATATTAGCCGAAGTCACTACCGGAGGCTCGTTGTAACGGCATGTTTAGCCAAGATATCCGGAGAGATGAAGACTCGGACGATAGAACTCCCTAGCGGGATCAATGACTGTATGTTACCGGGCAGCAGGGGATACGCAAGCGAATACTGGGGCCGGAGTAAACTATCAGAGGACAGAACATTCAGAGCTTCGTCCACGAACCTATATTCAAAACGACATGAGAAACTTTCGAATTGGCTTAGCGACTGTATTAAGCACATGTTAGGGAATCTTGGTGCCATTGCAACACTGAACAGAGACTACGATTACAACGACATGTGCACTCTGTTTCATAAAGCGGGTACTACTACAAACAAAACCCAAATAGTTGTTAACCAGGATCGATTGGATGGCGTTAGTGGCTCAGCCGATACGCTTGAGCTATCTTGGGCCATCATGTCCCTCAATCTGGCTCTAGATTCTGGTTTGGAATTCCTCCGCCCTGCTGATGGTAGGACAACCCCACATGCAGCCAGCACAGCACCCATTACCTTCACGGCCGCATTCAATGGAGAAGAATGGCGATTGGACGTAGGAGAGCTCATTAAACTCGTTTTTATCATAGCACCACTTTCGCTTGCCGCTCCATCACTACCTTGGAATTTCACAAGAAGCATTAAAACGGTCAGCGCTTTGTCAGTACATGAAGAACAGGCTGTTGCCCCAATCGACACTTCTTTCGGAGTCTTCATCGGCCTGAGATCATCGGATCTTAACACTATTCAAAGACTTCCGAGAGCCCAACCATTGTCAAATGTTCCGTTCAGGCGGGACGCCGCATTTTTATCAAATTCACGACTAGTCCAAGGCTTCTGTAATGAAGCCAAAACCAACGATCCTGAAAACCATGCGACTGAGACTCATTATCTGCAAAAGCTGGATCACCTAATGCAGAATGCCGTTGGTATCTTGCCGAAGGAAAAAAACGCTCGACAATTTGACGTTTCAGGAGACATTTATCAAAGTCAAATGTTGGACTTATGCCTATACTGTCTTATGTTTCCGGTTGCGTTGGTCTCGGGTGGCCTTGTGTGGAGCTTTCTTGTGGGCGAAAGCATACCAGGCGTTCATCCCTTCAACTTGGCCCATACTCATAGATCATCAGGGGTCTCCCTCTACTCATATCTAAGATTATTCACGTCTCGGACTGGAAATGGAGGGGGTTTTTCTTGGGGGAGGCAGCATGACGAAGCGTCACGGAAGTCTCAAGCCTAACCGGCTTTGATCCACAAACCATCCTTTTTCATCTTCTTGCGATAGAGGCCGACAAGATTTTGAAAACAGGCAGACCCTACCATAACTGCTTCTCAAAGGAACACGTCCGCGGTGGCTTCGCCATTGACGTGATCCAGTCAAGATTATGACCATTGCAGGCGCTGCCCTCGTCTGGCTTCGACTGATCCCTGGCTCTCGCGGAGTCAAAACCTTGGAGATCGTCGGAAGCGCAGCTGACGCCGATGTCTCTCTGAATCCTCCAGGCGAGCAGGACCAAAAGCAATATCGGGCAGTCATCATTCGACAGAATGTAAGATGGCTCAAAGTCTTTGGGCTTTACGAATTGGACTGGGTTCAGTTTGGGTGAGAGGACTATTGGCTTCGATCGAATGCTGATACTGAGCGTGCCCATTAAGTATCAGGACAATGGTCATCGCTTTGCAACAAGAGAAGATCAGTTCGCTTGGCATCTTGTCACCGTTTTAACTTTGTTTTCCTCTTTTCTTTCCACGCAGGCGGTCTTCGCAACGCTCACCCCAAACACAATAACAAAATTGACCCATCAAATGCTGGCGAGTTGTCCCTCTTTGCTCCACTATCAGTCTCCCCCTCAATTGTTTTATCTTACTAAAGGACCATCTGCCCAAAGGTTTGATAGCCTGGCGGTGTCTTCTAGCCGATGAGAGCCTTGTGATGAGCTGAATATTTCACTCGCGAATAGGGCAGTCTTGCAAACCCTTTGCCCATGAGTGTGTATGTGCATACGCGCGCCCTTTCCTGCGGGTACTTTGTTTACTTCGAAGACAACTCTCACAATAGTTTGTAGATGGCAAGATCTTCGAGTTTTGCTAGCCGGGCAGTTTCAATTAGTTACCCAGGCAGTATCTCTTGTGACTTTAATCGTCGCGCACTTAATACTTCAATACGAGAATTGGTGATTGTGATAGACGACGACAATAACAACGACAACGGAAGTGAGTACACAGAAATATGGTCGCTTTGGTATAGCAAAATGAAGGGGTCCTCAGTAGGGTATACAGATAACGCGCGTGTAGTGGACACTCCCCGGATAGTAGAACTCATATGCTTTCTTACATCGCTCACTTGGTATTACGAGCTTGGAGATGTGCCATTTCACGCATTAGTTCTGTGTTCAAACTTTCCTGTCATCGGCATCAAACTGCTTCATCCTCTTCCCAAGCCATCCCCAATACCCAGCAAACATCCCAACCCCCTTCCACCCTTCACAAAACGCCCTCGTAGCCTCCATCCTCTCCCTCTCAACCTCCCTCTGCCTCCCCTCAACCCACCTGCCCGCCTTTCCCCCCTCCACAACCCCCATCTCCCCAAGCCCATACACAACCCTCGCCTCGCAGACAGGACACAAATAAGGCGGCTGCCTCGCGTCCTCCCCCAACCCCGCCGTGCCCTGCATGACACAGGCATAGTACACACAGTGATCCATCCCAAAACAGTGCCCCAACTCATGCGCCGCCGTCCTCGCGACCCGCGAGAACCACAACCCCCTCTGTTCCTCCTTCGTCTTGGGCACAACAGCCTTCTTCGCAGCATTAATCGCAGCACCCAGCGCCGTGCCTGTCCTCTTCTTCAGATCAAGCACCACTTCACCGCCAGTAACACCCGCCGTTGCCTTCCTCCCCCCGCGCTTCCTCTTCTTGTTCCCACCCACCTCGCCTCCACCCCCATTCTCCCTCTCAAACTCCTCACAAAACCCCTCCACGAATCTCGCACAATGCGCCAGCGGCCACATATGCCCAACCTCCACCCCAAACGCCAGATCCAGCACCGGCCTGTACCGAAAACTACTCACCACCGAGATCCGACTGCCGCCAAACGCCCGCCCGCAACAAAAGTCGTCCTCCTCGTCTTCATACAGATCCTGCGCCGCCACCAGCACGCACGCATACGCGTTTTCCGGCAGCACCCCCATCAGCGCATCCAGCAAATCGCTCAGGTTCAGCTGCATCCTTGCAATCTCATCTTTGCTCGGCCGCGCCCGCACGCCCACCACCGTCTTGTCGCCCGTCGCCAGCCCGACCATGTCCGCCTTTCCCCCGGCCTCCCAGCGAACGAACCTCATCGGCGTGGGCAGCAGCTTCACCTCGAGTGGATGATAAAACGCCGCCAAGTACCCCACCAAGTCCCCCGTGTCAGGATGCTCCAGCCGCGGGAACTCCGCCGGGTCAACCAGGTCCTCAACGTCAGGCTCAGCCCACTCCCGCATAAACGCCGCGCTGTCATCGATCCGCGGGACGTCCGCAACATACAGCGTCTTGCGGTCGTGCGTGATCGGGTTGCGGTACCCGCCGTTGATCCACGACCGCAGGCTCTGCGGGGGGTACCGCGGGTGCAGCGCGAGCTCGTCGTCGGGGAGGACGAGCGGGCCGGGAAAAGTGGAGGCGTCCGGGGCGACGGGGCCGGGCGACGATGCACCGCCATCGGGGACCCTCCCGGAGCGCGTCGTTGCGGCGATGCGTTTGTCAACGGGCACGCGCTCGAAGCCGGCGGTTTTGCGGCCGTAGGTTGACGCGTCGAGGAGGACGGTCTGGTGGGTGCATGCTTTCTCCTTCGCGGGCGCCATGGTGGGAGTC